TGAAACAAATTCTATTAAATGAGGAGGGAAAACTTAGGACTGCTTCTCTTTGCTGTGAAGACACCTACTTAATTTGTGAAAAGTAGGAGAAAAAGATAGAAGACTGTAAATTCCTCTGTTTTTAATGTGTCCTCTTATTTTATTCCGATTGGCAGATTTATCAGGGTCTTTTGCACAGAGCTGATTTACCTTCAAGAACGTAAACAAATTCTTACAGGCTCAATGAAGAACTACCTTTTATCGTGAATGCTAGTAACTTGGAAGTACATGCTTATTTGAATAATCTAAACATAAACTAATGGGGTTTAAATGTATTTTTAAAAAGAAGAAACATAGCAAACTAGACACTGGTAAGTGTCACCAGGTTGGGAGGGAGGACCAGGAAGAAGACAGGTAGAGAAATTTATTAACTTGATAGCCAGTTCTAGTCTACCACATCAAAATGTTTTTCAAACTTGGGAGTGAGGATTATGTGTTTATTAAAGTGTGATCTATGGGTAGCATGACCGTATCATCATCCAAATGTAAACAAACTTTCAAGAGTTAATGGGGGCACTTTCAATAATATGTTTACTACTAGAATTAAGAATATTCTGAGATGATGTAGTCAAGCTGGGGTAGATCATTACCCTGAGTGGACCCTTGTATATTGGAATTATCTAGAGTCCTTATAATGTTGCATCAATTTCTGGTGTACAGCATAATCTTTTAGTCATACATATATTCATATTCATATTTTTCATTATAGGTTACTATAATATGTATAGTTCCCTGTGCTATACAATATAAACTAGTTTTTACCTATTTTATATATATTAGTATCTGCAAATCTCCAACCCTCAATTTATCCTTTCCCACCCCCTTTCCCCAACAGTAACCATAAGTTTGTTTTCTATGACTGTGAGTCTCTTTCTGTTTTGTAAATGAGGTCATTTATGTCTTTTTTTCTTTAGATTCCACATAGGAGTGATATCATATGGGTATTTTTCTTTCTCTTTCTGGCTTACTTCACTTAGAATGACTATCTCCAGGTCCACCCATGTTGCTGCAAAGGGCGTTATTAGTTAATTCTTTTTT